ATATATATATATACATGTTACTTTTATACATTTATGAATTGAATTTATAGTAATAACAAAAAATAAAGTAAGCCAAAAGTAAATGTTTACTTATCAACAATTGACAGCAATTTTGTAAGGCTTAATCTTACATCCCTCGGCTAATAAAGTCCAGTCTATATCTTTTTATGTTGGAGGATTAGTAATAACGCTAAACATCCTTTCTACGTCTTTTATCTCCAGTTTCCGGAAATACTATAATAGTCTCAAAAAGCGCAAAGAATATTGCCAAGCCTTTCAATAGTGTGCAAATAGAGTCTTCACATAGACCCCAAAATTTTCTTTTTGCTGGCAACCCCCTGAACCCCACTGAATGTTGCCATGGATCTTTAGGGATCCTTGTGTCATGGATCACTTTGGGAATCATTGCTTTATCCTACTGATTAAGATGAACATATATATTATCACAAATTATTTTTAAATATTATTAAAATAATATAATATATAAATACTTTTGAAGCTATGAATGTTTTACAAAATTTTACAAACCTAGAAAATATTCAAATCCTGTGGAAAGTTTCACATTTTTTATTTTTACTGTCAAAAACAGTCATTAAATTAACACAGCGTTATTTAATTCAATATTTTATTAAAATGAATTATGTTTATGATAAATGAAGAATTCTGATCACAATACTACATAATTTTACAGATGTTCTTACATTTTATTAAGTATTCATATTGAATATTCATACAATTTGTAAATTATTATTTTTTTTCATTCTTGTTTTTTCAACTGTTAATAATTTAATAAAAAGATGTTTTTTAAATTACGTTATAATGATAAATACATTAATTTTAGCTTCTTCTATTGTGTATATTTGTAGGTGTTTTTTTAGTTTTTTTTAGTCCCTCGAATTGAGCCCTAAATGATCTACAAAAACCATTCAAAGAAAAAACTAACTGTAAGAAGTCGATTCCACTTGCTTTAGACTTGTAGAATTTTTGTAGTTCAATTCATTTTTTTTTTTTTTTTTTTTTTTTTTTATA